CAGCTTAAGTAATATTTTTACTTCAAGCATGAACGTCACCTGGTAACTGACGTCACATCAACGTAAAGACGATCACCGATCCGAAATCGATACAACGCTTATTCTATAGCCAATATTTGCTCAAAGTGAGTAGCCTAAACCTTCCCGAAAAACATAAATTAAATGTATATGTAATATTGCATTTGCGATATGTATGTTAAACATAAATGCATTATGTATGTTAAACATATAAGAATTACTTCCCAATATAATTGGATGCATCAATTTAGAAAGAAAACAAATCGATTGAATTTTATAAACCTATTAAAATTACATGCCATTCTTCTTTATTGCTTACCGTATTTAACTTTTAATGGAACAATAATTTATGGCATTTCTAATTTCCATTAAAGGTATTCTTAGTTTTCGTAATTATGCTTATCTAAGGGAGAAACATCTATACTTATCCTAGAAGCTGCACAGCACTTCAACTGATTGCATAAAGCAGACAACTTTTCTCTGCGGTAATTTTCCGTTTTAAATACAACGCAGACTGTTCTTACATCAAAGATTATCACAATTATCCAAGAAGACATGATACGAACCTCATCGAGCATTAGCTCTACTATTGTAAGTTTTAAACATGAAATATGTCTAAAATGTTTTCTGTCACCAATTACCTCAATGTCAATGATATACGGACGGAATTTCTTCAATCCCTGTTCATGCGTCATAGAAAACAAAAATTATTTGCACAAACTTCTAAAGAGATTTTACTTATTTTTGATTTATTTGTAGCGTTGAAGTTGGAATATGGATGACTGTAATGACTGGAGGGTTAACATACTTCAGTTTCTTTATTGTCTTGATTATTGTTACGTTAACGTCGGCATTCCAGAACGTATAAAAAAAACTGTACATGTTAACAAAAGGTAACGCAAATTTAAAATTGGAATTGGAAGAAATAATGGCACAGCACCATGAAATTTGGTCATTCACCAATCAACTCAACGGACCATTCAATTATGTATTAACGATTTTCTACGCTGCTTTATTAACAGAAACGTGTTTACTTTATTTTATTGCCATATTCTCGAAAGTTAAATTCGCATTGAAACTCTTTATTTTAATGATTTGTGCTGTAATAACTATTGTATGTATCTTATTTGGATTTTTGATGGCTGTTTTTACATCGAAAGTAAGAATTTTATTAAAATGAAAATAAGTTCGTTTATGGATTTTATCAAATGTTTCGCTTTGTTTTTCTTTTTCAGATGCAAACATCCTTTCAAGATATAAGAAGATTTGCTGATTGCAATTTCAGTTTAGAACAGAAATTAAAGGTGAAGCATTTTAATTAAATTTAATTTTTTTAAATTTGTTCTTTTTATATAAATAAATGTTAATTTTGTGTAAAATTTAAATAAAGTAATAAGAATCAATTATTGTGCAGATGTTGAATTTTATGAAGAGATTTGGTAAAGTGTCTCTATGTTTATCCATGAATAATTACTTCAACGTTACCAAGATGTTTCCGATTAAAGTATTTTTAACTGCATTTTATAATATTAATTGTGGAAATCTTATATTTATATATATAATTTTTTGAAATTTTTCAGATGGCGAGATCTCTTCATTCTGTATTTTCAGGACTTCTGAACCTCAGAACAGCTTTAAAACCTAAAAATTAATATGTTTTTTTTTTTTTATAAATTTTAATTCTGAAATAAATATATTTAGTAAAATAATATATCGCTTTTCGCTTTTAATATCTTAATGCTATTTAATAGTTATTGAAAATCAACAAGACACGTAAATATACATACGGCCTTATCACAACAGTAAATGAGATTATTTAATAATTTGTTTAATGATTATTATCACTTTAACTATAAGAATTTTTAATAAACTGCGGCTTCTTTAATATGTACGTACTGTAGTATGTATATTTTTAAAATGTCAAAGTTCAATCATATAAAATATATTATATGTTAGATTATGTTATAAGAGCCATATTTAAAATCAATAAAATTATGAATTTTTTATATAAATAACATTCATTTGCATGTCTTACATTTACTTGTGGTTCCGTTAACAATTAAAACAATGGTGTATGTATCGCTCTAAGATTAACGATAGAGAATAAAGGCCCAAGCACAATGAAAATTAAGAAAAAACTAAAATTTTGTTCTTATATTATTTACTGTAACCATTCACAATGAGTTATATTGTAAGTTAAAGTTTATCAACTAATTGAGTTTGTAAACTTTTAAAGTTTTCAAACTTCAAGATTTTATGCATTATGCGTGATTTTACTTGATTTCTTGTTTTAAAACAATTATCAATCCTCGAAATATTGGAATTACAACTGGTGAATTTTTCTCTGGTTTATCGAATGATTCACTTTATCATCTGTTGCAGGCAGTTTCGTTTTCTGATGCAAAACAACTAACATATATTCTTCGGTGTTATTTATATCGATAATGCTCAGCTGTATTATCGTTTGTCATGCAAATATGAATATTTTTCATCGCTGATCACTCGATTCTAAACCCTTCTCCTCCTGAGACGTCTATGAAAATGACCAGGGAAATCCAACACTAGCTGTTCTCTAGGTCATCCAGCTGTAAACACCATGACTGATCGGTGTCAAATTTGGCAGAGAGGCGAGACAATGGAAAATAAAGTTTGAAGCTTTTTCTTTAAAATTAATGCATTTCTTTCGGTTTTTTTCAGTCTTAAGTATTTTTTTTTTCTTAATTAAAATTCTATAAAAATGGCGGGCTCAAAAGGGGTTAAAAAAGTAATTAAATTTCATTTTTAATTAGCGTGAGCGTGAGCGTAAGCGTCAAAGTGATCTAACTTAGCAATGAGTCTCCGAGACATAGTCTTGTCACAAATACGGCTTTGAAATTTTATTAGTTAGTTGTACATTTAAAATTTAAAACGAAATATTAGAGTTTGGAAGTTCATTTGTTTAAATGTTTTATCTTTTGAAGAAAGGTTCGAATTTGATCGCCATTTTGTTAACTGAAGGAAAAAATAGAACTCACTGCATATTAAGATTAAATAATTATTAAATAAAAATTATCTGAATGTGTAGCAGACATTACTTAGTGAAAAACATGAGACCACGGCAAAGCACTGCAGTTATTTGCAAGATCAAATCTTGCATATTTAGCAAATTCTGATTTTTCATTACAAGAGACTCGACAGTTAGTTTTAACTAATGTCAATGAAATAACTTATGTCAGCAGCATACATCTGTAACTAAAAGAAATGTAAGTAGTAAAATAATAAGAAACTTTCATCGACCACCTGAGATGCAACCAGCATCTCAAATGCAACATCCTCAATATTCCTTTGCTTTTGATACCGGACTGGTTTTCACTTCTGGGATCTATTATGAGTTGTATCGTTAAGTTAACGAATACGATAAAAAAAAACTAGTTTTTATCGAAACCACGGTATTGGCGTTTAATCAGCTGTGAAAATGCTAAGTCGTACGTTTTATTTTCGAATCTGACAGTCACGTGCGATAACTAAGCTTTTGTTATCGATCATTCTCGATTTTAAGGGAGAGAAAATTAGCATTAGACGTCATGAATTTCGGTTTCTCGTCTTCGAGATAATGCTTTTCGGCTGAATGATCCGCATTTTAAAGAACTTTGTTTTCTATCGGAGCCATTACTATTACATTTATGCAAGGAATTACGAAAAAAGCTAGAACAGAGTTGAATTTACAAGTAAGCTATAAGCCAGGGGTGTCCAGTTTCAAGTTAGCTGAAAAATTTTTACAAAGTAAAATAAAAAATTGACGTCAAATTTTGTAATAAATTATTTTCACAAACCAATAAAATATATTTTTACATTAAATTGTGTGTAGTATTTAATTATATTAATAATTAATATTGTGTGCATTACATTTCTAGTTATTTCTTATTTTTAATATATAATGTAATATTGAATTAATTCAATATTTTGACAGATGATGGAAATGATCATGGAATACTTTATGCTTTAGCTGTAAATATAAAGAATAAAAAATCTGAATTGATATCATTTTATGGAATAATAATGAAATGTTTGTAATATCTTTTCGGATTAGCACGTCGATATAGGATTGGCATATTGGAATAGGTTATGATATGTGTTGTTTTCTAATTATAACCGATAAAAGGAACAAAGTTTAAAACAGGCAAGTATGAATAAACATGCAAGTATGAAATGCATAACATTAAATAAACATCTAATACAAAGCCTATTTATTTATTTATTTTTAATTAACATACTGGTACAAAATTCCCTAATGAAGAAATAAATTTTCATTTTCATAAAGGGGATGAAGACTCGGGACTACTCATTGGTATTGCCCGAGTGTGAAGAAGAGTAGAGGAAAGATAGTTAAGGAAAGAGGCGAAGGGAAAAGAGTAAAGAGAGATAGGAAAGGGGATGAAAAAGGAAAGTTTCATGGGCGCCTAGCCTGTTTTATTAAGAATCAAATGAAACATACAGATACGTCTCCTGACCATCAGATACAGACAATAATTGCAATATTTAAAGTATGTACAATTGAAGACAGTTTGATTACACGTAGTTTGAAAAATTTTAACCGAAAAAACAGAAGAACATAAAATCAAATCAATATTTTGAACAAATACAGTTCTTACCTGTCAGTATACAGACGATAAATAAACTTTTAACAAAATATTTTAAGGAAAAATGATTATACATAGAATGATCAAATTTACTAATCGAAAATACAATAGTAATTAGACAACATTAATTAATGTATTAATCAAATATGGCTCCTCGCCATCAAAAAACATAAATTATACATTGATGAAATCTGAATCTTACAGTTATCACCGAAAGTAAAGTATTACAATAAATTAACTTAAAGTACATATCGAAAAGGTTATAACAAATACGGCTTTTCGCCGTCTAGTAAAAAATAATTAGAAACAAATGTAGGAGCAACTAAACCATGTAGATCGATATAGGGTGTAGAGACAAGAACACTAATGTGTTCTTTGAAAGTTCGTCTCAAGCGCTTTAGTCTTCTTAATAAAAGTTTGAAGTTCATAAAAAAGTTCTTTTTCAGTTACGAGATGGTGTAGTTCGCATGGCCAATTGAACCCGTGTTGCAATGTTTGTTGAATTAAAGAGCTTCTTTCTCTGTTATAGTTGCTGCAGTAGAAAATCAAGTGATCGACATCTTGGACCGATGCACCATCGCAACTGCATGTTTCTTCGTCGGAAAGACCGAATCGATGAAGGTAGTGCTTCAGATTCCCATGTCCGGTGAATGTCTGTGTCATGATGTAACCAATATTCAAATGTTTCATGGCAAGGCTCTGTTGAATACATGGGAAAAATTTAAAGGTGATTCTTCCTGTATCACCATTTTCCCAATCCACTTGCCACAGCTGAAGGGCAGTTTGTTGAATCAGATCCTTGATGTTTTTCTTGGTAAGAGCAGTATAGATGATCTCACCATTCTCATTAGCATGCTTTTTCGCTAGTCTATCTGCTTCTTCATTTCCCTGCACCCCGCTGTGGCCTTTAACCCAAGCGAAGCTGATTTTATAGTTGTGTATATTCTTCAACTTATTCCGGATGTTATTTATCATATCGCAATCAAAATAGTCACTGTTGATACGACGAAGTGAGGTTTGGCTATCCGTACATATACGTAGATGTCCTTTGTAGTCTTTCAATGTGTAAATGTAAGAGATAGCTTGAAATATAGCGTACAATTCGGCATCAGGAACAGAGCAATAGCTGGCTAGTTTAAAGCCGGCTTCATGTTTGAAGTTTGCATTGCCATGTTTAAAATGAATAAAAGATGCTCCTACATTTCTGTTGTTTTTGGAACCATCCGTAAAGATAAAGTTAGTAGGGTATGGTTCTGCATTAATATCAGTGATGTCAGCCTTGTAGTTATTTGTTGGGTGAACGTATTTAGATTTCTCTTTGATTATTCCATTATTGACAAAGGTCTGTA